ATCATTACATGTGATGATAAAGATATATATCAATAGTAAAGTTAAAATTATATATAAAATTATCAACACAAAAACTACCATCAATAATAAATAACAATAATTTGCCTCTACATCTTCCAGTAATCCAACAAACCAACACTAGATAGACTCTAAATTCTAGAATATAAGCGCTGTGGATTTGTTTGTCTTTACCCGAGGCCCTAGAGGTACAGAGGCCATAATTATCACTTGACGCGGCACTGTTATCGGGCTGAACAAAGATTGTAAGTCTTCCTTCACGGATCCCAAGTTTCAATTGGATTTGGAAAATAAACTGCCCATATATAGTACGGAATTGCAAGGAAACAGAGGAAACTTTTGGAATAAGTCAATTGCGGTTTTTATAAGGACAATATGTTTTCTTGCACATTTTCATCAGACTAAATAGAATTCAATGTTCGGTTTTTCTTCATGAAAATCCATTAAGCTTATAGGAACTGTTAGATTATTATTATCTGTTTTTTATGTATATTAAAATGGGATTTGGAGTAAAACCTAGCCTTTACCCCATTCGCCCTACGTGGCAAGAATAGATGCCATGCCCACTTCGATACATGTTTATTTATTGTATTTACACATAGATGGCTCCACAAGTTCTTAATCACCAAATAGCCAGTTAACAAGAACTACCTATTTCACCTGTTTACCCTTTTCCTTCACTTTAGGAAAAGTTTATTTTGTATCATTTCATTGTCTACGATATTGTAATGATAACTGAATAATCATAACATCAATAACAATAATAACAGTATCGATAGCAATGGTATTAATTTTCCCGCCAATTCAATGAATGGGAAAATCAGGGTCGGTAACTAGGGCCTACTGATAGACTCCTTGCCAGCTGAGCACATGTGGAGCCATCTGTATGTAACAAAATTCACCAAAAACTACAGGGGACAGTACATAAATCCAGGGCAAATGGGTTAAAAAAAAAAATTACGCACCCTAATGGAACAAGGCAATCAGAGTGGCCTCCGCACCTGACTGCTGCGGCAAACGGCTCACAAACCTCCATCTTGTACATTTTGGCAAGACAGAGCTCACACTGGTTCCTTACACAATGATACTTCATCAATATTTATGCTATATCGCAACAAATAAAGCTTCGTTCTTTCTGCTAGATTCAGCTGAGAAACGCAGCTATGACTCAAATCGTTTGTGAAGTATTGACACCCAAAGGATATAAAACTGATTTAGATGTTGCTGTATGATTAACCCAATGTCACCAGGCATGGCACGTACGTACATGCCATGCCCACTGTGTTTACTTTATTAATTGTTTTTACACAAGATGGCTACACTTGTACAAAGTCACCAAGGAGCCAATTACGAGTACTGCCTGTGTCACACGTTTACCCTTTTGCTTGACTTCCAAAAATAATTTACGTTATCTTATTTTGCTGTTACTAATGTTTATAACATTACAGTAATTATAGCGTCTATAATAAAAATAACAACATCGATATTAACAACATTAATAAAAAATAAACAAAATTCCCACCAATTCAAGGAAAGGTGAAATGAGGTAAGGTCACAAGGTCTACTAATTGACTCCTTTGTGGCTAAGCACTAGCAGAGCCATCTATGTGTACAGACATTTCACAAATAAATAAAAAATGAGCACAGCATTTTCCCTGCAGCATTGGGTTAATATTGCTGGCTGTCATCTGAACTAAATGTCCCAAGTACTGTTTTTGCCAGTGAATGTACTTTTGCCCAAGTTTAAACTTATTCATTACCATCATACAAATATAAAACAGTTCTTGTGGGTTTTCTATGTCCGAAAGAAATGTTCCAGATGAAAAGTGTCTTCAAGTCTATATACTGTTTACTGTGAAAGCTATGGCTGCCATATGCTAAAAACATAGAAAAATTCTCAGTTTCAAAGCCAGTGTCACTTAATAAGTAAGATTCACCAAAATGACACACCAATATAATAACAATATGTCTGAGCTTATTCATTACCATCATACAAATACAGAACAGTTCTTGTGAGTATTCTACGTCCGAAAGAAATGTTCCAGATGAAAAGTGTCTTCAAGTCTATTTGCTGTGAAAGCTATGGCTGCCATATGCTAAAAACACAGGAAAATTCTCATTTTCAAAGCCACTGTCACTTAATAAGCAAGATTCACCAAAATGACACACCAATATAATAACAACATGTCTAAGTTTCTTCATTACATCATACATATATACAACAGTTCTTGTGAGTATGCTATCTCCGAAAGAAATGTTCCAGAAAAAAAGTGCCTTCAAGTCTATATACTGTGAAAGCTATGGCTGCCATATGCTAAAAACACAGAAAAATTCTCCTTTTCAAAGCCACTATCATTTCATAAGCAAAATTCACCAAAATGACAATATAATAACAATAATAGACTAATATTGCGAATGAAGTCATAATTCTTTTTACTACCAATGACAAAGGTCCGACATACTAGCATAACCAGACACACTATACAAAAATCTGAACTTACTATCACTCAACATAATATTACCAAAAACATTACATCAGATTCTTTACCTAGATGTTTAAGGAGAACTGGCATTCAAAGAGAACAAGAAACAAAATGAATAACATAAGGAAGAACAAGGAGAGAGAATTTAGGTCATTTAAAACAATAAACAAATAAAAGGATTCAATAGTATGGTAATAAAAAGTAGAAAATAATAATGTTACTAAAATGATAAAGATACAAATAAAAATATAACTAATAAAGAAATAATAGTAGTAATAATAATAATAATAGGAAGAATATTAACATTATTCTTATTCTTATTCTTATCATTATTATTAATAGAATGAAGTGTAAAATCAATTAATCAAATAAAACCAGTGATTTCATATTACTGGTGTAAATATTTTCCAAACCATTACAGAATCTTCTTTGAAATTAAAAAAAAAAAAAAAAAAACAGTTAGCAACACAAAACCTCATGTTCTTCATTTACATTAAAAAAAAGTAATAAAATAAACAAGTAAGCCCAAACCAAAGATAAAACCATAACACCAGGAGAAAAATACAACTGAGAGAGAGAAAGATGATAAAACCAGAGGCAAAACAAACAAACAAAAAAGGAAGAACATAAAAAAAACAGAATAACATACATAAATGAGAAAATTGAAGGAAACATTACAAATACCAAAGGCAATAAAACACTTACAAACAAAAAGAATTAAATACCACGAGTCAGCTGACTGCAACAACAACTGCAACTGAGCTGAATTTGCAACGCGGATCAATCATGCAATATTTCTGTGCAATTGCAACATTTCACCATTTGAGAGGCAGTATTTTGCAATAGAGACGTAGCGCTGTGATTCCCGGTGATAAACGCGTTAAATACAACATCGCACATGGTGGAAATATGGAAAAAAACGTAAATCGATAATAAAAATCGGAATTTTTAGCACTTTCACGCTGGTTTGTTTTCGTTTTTTTTTTTCTCTCTCTCTCTCTTTCTCTCTTTCCTTCTCACCCTCTTTTTGTCTTGCGCTTTCCTCCGTCTCCCGGTAAGACACACACGAGGACGCCGCCTCCCGCCTCTCCCTCAGCCAGGATGCTGCATCTCCTACGTCTCTCTCTCTCTCCCTCTCTTTATCTCTGCTTGCACTTTCTCCCTCCCTTCCCTTCCCTTCCCCCCATTCCCCTCCCCATTTTCCAGGCCAGGGAGCTCGCCCTCGCGTCCCCCCCGCCCTCCCAGCCACGTCCCGGCGCCCCTGGTCTCTCCCCGCGCCCCCAGGCCCGAGACCGACCTGTCAGAGCTGGCTGAACTCGGGGGATCTTGCTTGAATCTGCCGGACATCGCCTCCTCCGCGACGGCCTTCTGCTGCACCTGCGTCCGTCGGGGCTGCCGGGGCGCGCGAGATAGGGATCTTTCGGGATTTTTGGCGGTCTTGTCGGAGGTTAGGGGAGGTTTTAAGGGTGTTGGTTGTCGAGGTTGGGAATTTTTTTAGTGGTTGTGATGGGTGGGGATTGGATTTTTGGGTGTTTTGGGATGATTTTGGGGGTGATTAGGGTATTGTGTGCGGTTTGCTGCTAGACGTTGCGTTGCTATGGAAACCGGCGTAAACAACTGCAGACGACGCGTCAGCTGATTTTTGAGTCCTGCCGCATTTCCAGCACCGGAAAAATTGTGATGGGAATCTAATAGCCTGTGAAATGAGCTGAGTCGACGTGGCTTGCTTGATGATGCGACGTTGTGATCAGATTTTCGGTCTAATCTTTTGATGTGGTCTAATCTTTTGAAGTGAGCGATATGTGTCAACGCTGTTGAACTTCAAATGCATGTTAATGAGCAGAGCGTTCTCTACTTTAATATAAAAGGATATTCATATTCAAACCCAAGCTTCATTTTAACAGTAACGCGATATATAATTATCCACTAGTAAGACCTTAAAATACCCAATACAATCCATCACTCCCTGGCTTTTAATTGAATTTCTGGTGAATGAACAGCAATTCGTTTTCACAATACCACTTTGAGTTCGCGTCACGTACACCGCTCAGTAGAGCTCTACGAAAACCACATTTCAGAAATGGGAAAGAGTAAGTGATTTTCATTTTCACGGTGTTAGGTGTGCGATGCGTTTTGCTTTTGATATGTCACTTATGAAGGGAACTGTACAATCTGCAAGTGTATATGTATATATATATATATATATATATATATATATATATATATATATATATATATATATATATATATATGTATACACACACATGTGTGTGTGTGTGTGTGTGTGTGTGTGTGTGTGTGTGTGTGTGTGTGTGTGTGTGTGTGTGTGTGTGTGTGTGTGTGTGTGTGTGTGCGTGCGTGTGCGTGTGCGTGCAATAGAGAAATATCTTTCTTGTACTAAGAGCACTTTTTAGTAACCTCTAAGTATTAAGTGACGTATTTTACATACGGAGTACTTCAGTAGTTTTGGGACTTTAATAGAACCATTATAATTTCACGATGGAAATGTCTTCTGTATTTTAACAAGCTTGTTTTGTTTCTATTACCCTCCTTTATCAATTCCCATATGTAGTTACTAATACTACGTTCAAGTATCAATATTACCATTATGAAAGTTAGCTGTGGCTCTAGGATATCTCTGTTTTGGTCGATGGCTTGAGGGAACTGTGAAATGACATGCCAGGTCTTGACAAAGACGGGTGGCGAAAGGAATAATAAGAATTCAACATTTAAAGCTATTTTAGTATTCATTTCTTGCTAAGGCTTGCGGTTGTATGTACATTCAAGTTGAGTCAAAATGGGCATATAACTTCCACTTTGATTTACAAACGTTAAGTAAACTACTAATGCCAGCTTTCAGTACATTTGGTGCCGGCTCCCTCCTGGCACTGAATTTCTCAAGGTGAAAACTCTATATGCTCTTCCCTCACTTCTCTCTCTCTCTCTCTCTCTCTCTCTCTCTCTCTCTCTCTCTCTCTCTCTCTCTCTCTCTCTCTCTCTCTCTCTCTCTCTCTCTCTCTCTCTCTCTCTCTCTCTCTCTCCTCAGTTTCGTCATTTTCATGGCTCAGTTTACAACATAGTCATTCACAAATACCACAACGTTACGGGGAATGTGGAGGGATAAAGGGATTTTAGAACTTTTGAGAAAGCTAAACCCATCCTTTGTTGCCGCTCCATTGACAATCCTGTTGAAATCCTTGTTGCCATCTGTATCATTAATAATAGTAATGATTAAGCACCAACCATGACCCACTACTAATACAATAAACAACACACATCAACATACATAATGAAGCATTGAATAATTACCCATGCATAGCAATCCCGACATCAACATCATTATCATCAAACAACCTTCCTCCTCGTAAACCTAATATCGCCTCCAGTCACGGTCGAGCTCGTCCGAAAGCGTGCAGAACACAACGAGGGAGAGCTGTCCACGCTGGAAGAGATCTCTCTCCACCAGCAAGACATCGAGAAAATCGAACACCTCCATCGCTGGTGCCCGCGTCTCCGGATCCTCTACTTACAAGGGAACCTCATTTCTAAGATCGGTGAGCACTTTCGTAGAGTTTATGAATGGGGGGGCGGAGGTTCGGTGACCGCTTAAAGGGATTTAATGGCATGGTGCGTGTGTGGAGTTGTGGGTCGGCGGGCGGCTGGGTAGATAGATAGGATAGATAAACAGGTAAGTAGTTTGCCAGATAGATAGATGGACAGATGTATATAGATATAGAAAGATAGGTAAATAGATAGTTGTGTGTGTGTGTGTGTGTGTGTGTGTGTGTGTGTGTGTGTGTGTGTGTGTGTGTGTGTGTGTGTGTGTGTGTGTGTGTGTGTGTGTGTGTGTGTGTGTGTGTTTAGTATAAACATACATCCATACGCATTAAACCCTCACATCATACATTGCATACACAGCATAATATCTCTCCTTACATATCTTATACATTCATTTTTAAACACACACTCTTACACTAAGTAAATCAAAGTCTATGAAAGTAGTATAACTGCCTCTACCAGTTGGAACAAGCTCTGTGTACAAGTTAAGCAACCACGTGCCTGGTTAACGAAATCGAACCAAACACACCAGTCGGCTCCCAAACACCTCTCTTTACACTGTGAAGTTTGAGTATTCATCAGGATATTGTGGGTTTTGTGAGGTCAAAAGTATTTTTTCCTTCCTCATGGCCCAACGGCGTCTGAGGAATAACTAAATACTTTCTGCGGGTTAGAAGAAGTGCCTCTTGGAATTTTAAGTTGATTTGGTTGTGTTGAATAAGGAGGTATTGCTGTTGGTTGATGTTAATATTGTCGTTTTATAATTCCTTTAAAACTGGTTGATTTTTGTATGTTGGTTGTCAAAGGAAGAGAGTTTTCATCATTCGAAATTTGTGTTTATTTACATATATTTTTTCAGCTGGTCCATGTGTGATAATTGGACTATTTATACATTGAAAGCATAATCAAAATATATTGCGATGCTTTTTGATCTTCAGAATTATAAGGATGATAGTTATGATGATAATAGTAATAATGACGATGAAAATAAGAATAACAATGATTATAATAATAATAATAATAATAATAATAATAATGTGATAATAAAAATACTGATCATGATAATAAGTACATTATTCTTATTCTTCAGATTTTGAGCACTTACTTCTAATTTTTTGTAGATAATATTTTTCTTTAGGCATACATTTCATTAACCATAGTGGTCTATCCATAACTCTATTTTACATACCACGCTTCTCGATTTTCACTTTAAATATCTCTTCGTTATACCTAGGTTCTTTTAATCTCCATTTTACACCAAATCTTCATAGTCTTGTGTCTCGTATTTCAGTCTTTTTCTTTTTTTTTTCTTTTTTCACTTCAGTCCAAACTAAAGATGACCTGTTGTTAAGGTAAAAACTGAGATTTGAAAATAGGACTTTATCTGAGTCGGGTTTCTTTTTTTTCTTTTTTCTTTTTTTTGGTATAAGTTACAACGTTATTAAATCGTTGTACAATAAAATACAACACTTTATTTTATTTAATAGGAATATGATCTAGACAAGTACCGTTCTTTTCCAGGGAGTTCTCATAACATCGGTGTTATTATATTACACAATCAATACATTGTTTTATTTAACAGAAATATAATATAGACAAATTGTCAATTTATTCCAGGAAATTCTTACTAGGAGGATAAAAAACAGCACATCAGAAGCTGTATTATTTTATTCTATATACTTTTCTATCCTTTTTTTTCGTTACATTATCTACTTTTTTATTAGCTACTAACCTACCTTTTTTTTGCATCATCTAACATTTTTACATCATCGACTTTTATTTTTATATTGTTTACCTTTTACGCCTCTTTATTTATATCATCTATCTTTTACGCCAACTTTTTTTTTTAAACGAATCTACATTCTTTACATCATCGACTCTATTTTTATATCTACCTTATTTATACCATTTACCTTATTTTTACATCTTCATTATTTTTACACCATTTACCCTCTTTACCTCCCCTCCTTTTTAAACCATCTACATTTATTCTAGATCATCTACCGCCTCTCTGAACACTAATCCGACGACCCCCCTCCCCCCCTTCTGTGTATCTCAGAGAACCTAGGTCGTCTTCGCGAGTTGGAGTATCTGAATCTCGCCCTTAACAACATCGAAGTCATTGAGGGTCTTGACAGGTGCGAATCCCTTAGGAAACTCGACCTTACTGCCAATTTCGTGTCTGAATTGACCACGATACTCTCCCTTCAGGATCTTCCTAATCTGAAGGAGCTGTAAGTGTGTGGTTTTGCATATTTCGTTGTTGTTTCTTTTGTTGGATTCTGTAATTTTGGTGCGTGTTTGTGTTTGTGTTTGTGATTGTGTGTGTGTGTGTGTGTGTGATTGTGATTGTGATTGTGTGTGTGTGTGTGTGTGTGTGTGTGTGTGTGTGTGTGTGTGTGTGTGTGTGTGTGTGTGTGTGTGTGTGTGTGTGTGTGTGTGGATGTGATTGTGTATGTGTATGTGTGTATGTAAGTGTGTCTATGTATTCATTCTTTACTCTGTACGTATATGTACCATGCAAAACAATAGCCATGCATTTAAAACAATATAATTACAAAAAATACCAATACCTGTAAATAAAATAAAGAAAGAAACAAAGAACATAAGAATAAGAATAATAAAGATAACAATAACAATAAATAAAAGAAAATCATAACACCCTCATTCCTACCACCCACCCCAACCACACTTCTCTCCCCCACCCACCCCCCTACGCTCCCCCCCCACCACACACACCAGCTTCCTCACTGGAAACCCCTGCACAAGTTACCGCGGCTACCGACCGTGGGTGATCTGCGCTCTGCCTGGTCTCGAAGATCTGGACGGACAGCCGATAACGAGGTCGCAGCGTATAAGGGCCCTGAGGCAGTTCACGGAGGCCCAGACAACCGTCCTCGCCGATCAGCAGGAGGAACTTGGTAAGGGGGGGGGAGATGGGAGAGAAGGGGGTGAGATAATTGGAGGGGAATGGTTGTTGGGGTTTGTGGTTAGTAGTGGTTGTTTGGGTGTTTTAGTAGAGGTGTTAGTTTTGTGGTTTATTAGTGGTGGTTGTTACTAGTTGTAGTTGTTAATAATTATAGTTGTTGTCGTTACTAGTTGTTAATAGTTATAGTTGTTACTTGTCGTTACTAGTTGTAGTTGATAGTGGTGGGAGTAGAATAGAAATAGCAGTAGTATTAGTTGTAGACGTAGTAGTGTTAGCATCAACACTAACAGTAATAGTACTAGTATTAGTAGAAACAGTAGTAGTAGCAATAGTAATAGCAATAGTAGTAGTGGTGGTGGTGGCAGTAGTAGTAGAAGTAGTTGTAGTGATAGCAGTAGAGAGAGAGAGAGAAAGAAAGAAAGAGAGAGAGAGAGAGAGAGAGAGAGAGAAAGAAAGAGAGAGAGAGAGAGAGAGAGAGAGAGAGAGAGAGAGAGAGAGAGCGAGAGAGAGAGAGAAACAGAGCGAGAGCGCGAGAGGGAGAGAGCGTAAGCGTAGAAGCACGAGCATCTACCCCAGTAACCTATTTTCGGGCATCACTCACAGTGAAAATAACCCTAGACTTCGTAGGTAAAGTACAATCTACTTTCTACCCTGCGGCTCTCTCTTCTCGCCTCTCTCCCTTTCCTTACTTCATCCACCTTTTTCCTTCCACCTTCCTTTCTCTCTCTTCTCGCCTCTCTCATTTTCCTTACTTCATCCACCTTTTTCCTTCCACCTTCCTTTCTCTCTCTCTTTTTTTTTTCATTATCCTTTACCTCCAGGTTGACTTAGTTTTATTTGACATTTTAACTTTATTTACGAGAAGGGGAGGGCGCGAACTGACCCCTACGCTCACACGGTGTTAACTGAGAACTTGGAAGCAGTTTTCTTACTTGGGAAATTTGCCGCTTTGCAGTATGGTTCTTTAATGGTTCTGCTGCAGAGGTGAGATTGTAAAAAAAAAAAAGAGTGATTTGGGGGATAAATGGAGGAGTGAGCGAAGGAGGGAAGGGAGGGAGAGGTAGGAAAGATTTGTATCTTTGTCCCTCTCTCTCTCTCTCTCTCGCTATTAATCTCTCTCTCTGTCTGTCTGTCTCTCTCTCTCTCTCTCTCTCTTCTCTCTCTCTCTCTCTCTCTCTCTCTCTCTCTCTCTCTCTCTCTCTCTCTCTCTCTCTCTCTCTCTCTCTCTCGCTATCAACCTCTTTCTTTCTTTCTTTCTCTCCCTCCCTGCCTCCCTCCTTCCTTCCTTCCTTCCTTCCTTCCTTCCTTCCTTCCTTCCTTCTCTCCCTCCCTCCCCCTTCCTCCCTCCCTCCCTTCCTCCACCTCTCTCTCTTCCTCTCCCTGTCTCCTTCCTCTCCCTCTCTCCCTCTTTTCCTCCCTCTCCCCCTCTTTTCCTCCCTCTCTCCCTCTTTTCCTCCCTCTCCCCCTCTTTTCCTCCCTCTCTCCCTCTTTTCCTCCCTCTCCCCCTCTTTTCCTCCCTCTCTCCCTCTTTTCCTCCCTCTCCCCCTCTTTTCCTCCCTCTCTCCCTCTTTTCCTCCTCTCCCCTCTTTTCCTCCCTCTCTCCCTCTTTCCTCCCTCTCTCCTCTTTCCTCCCGCCCACCATCCTTACCTCCTCTCCTACCCCCCACCCCCCCTCCTCTCTCTCTCTTACTAATTCATATATACACACATTCACGGGAAAACCGACTTTCTAGCTGCAAATTACCTTCATTAAGGAACTAAAAATTCGTGTGCAGCTTTCATTTTTTCTAGCAATAAGTCCATAAGGGTTACAACATCCAGAATGTGTATGTAAATGTTTAGTTTCCCAATGGTATATAAAATCTGCATGAGAACATATGCTTTCGAATATATATCTGTATTTAACTTGATTTAAAGGAGCATGTCATGAGCAGTTTTCTGACATGGTAACTTATGCATGACAAAATCTCAGATGTTTGTATGAACCTGTTTTATTTTATATATCGTAAGAAACTTAAATAATAAAACATACATCATAAAACATACAGCATAGAACATAAATATATAAGATTCATAGGCTAAAAAGTTTTTATCTAGGTAATAATATATTTTTATTTAAAAGAAATGAAAAAGTTTGTAGAGTCGCATCTTTGCAATATAAAGTAAAGTATATAAAGTTAACCAAAGACAATTTTTTTAATCGACTTGCATCGTTACAGAAATGACGTCACGACAATACGAAATGTAACGGGATCAATATTTGTGTTTTTGATTATCTCGTTTTAAAAATGGATTTTGTTCCCTCGTTAGTTTTCGCAACAATGAGAAGAATAGGAAAGGACTTGGTAAAGTTTTGTTCTGAGATGTATATTGAGGAGATAGATTGGAGTAAATGTGCTCTCTCTCTCTATCTGTCTATCTGTATTAATTAATTTATTTGTTTATTTCTCTCTCTCTCTCTCATTCTCTCTCTCTCTCTCTCTCTCTCTCTCTCTCTCTCTCTCTCTCTCTCTCTCTCTCTCTCTCTCTCTCTCTCTCTCTCTCTCTCTCCCTCTCTCCCTCTCTCCCTCTCTCTCCTTCCCTCCCTTCTCCTCTCCATTTCCCACATCTTCCTTCTCCCTCTCTCTCTCCCTCCCCCTCCCTCCCTCCCTCTATCCCTCCCTCCTCCTCCTCTTCCTCATCTCCCTCTCTCTCTCCCTCTCCCTCCCATCCTCCCTCTCCCTTCCTCTTTCCCTCCCTCTTCCTCTCCCTCCCCCTCTCCCTCCCTCCCTCCCCCCTCCCTCCCCCCTCCCTCCCCCTCTCCCTCCCTCTCTCTCTCTCTCTCTCTCTCTCTCTCTCTCTCTCTCTCTCTCTCTCTCTCTCTCTCTCTCTCTCTCTCTCTCTCTCTCTCTCTCTCTTTCTCTCTCTCTCTCTCTCTCTCTCTCTCTCTCTCTCTCTCTCTCTCTCTCTCTCTCTCTCCCTTTACCTTTCCCTCTCCCTCTTCCTCCCTCCCTCCCTCCCTCCTTTTCCTCTCTCTCTCCCTCTCTCTCCCTTTCCCTTTCAATCCCTCCCTCTTTTTCCTCTCTCTCTCCCTCCCACCCTTCCTCTCCCTTTCCCTCTCCCTCCCTCCCTCCCTCTTTTTCCTCTCTTTCTCCCTCCCTCCCTCCCTCCCTCCCTCCCTCTTTTTCCTCTCTCTCACCCTTCCTCTCCCCTCCGCCACTCTCTCACATTTTCTCTTTCCCTCTTTCCCTTGCTCTGCTCTGCACTTGACCAACGACGCGACTATTGCTGTGAGTTTATTGATCTCTCTCTCTCTCTCTCTCTCTCTCTCTCTCTCTCTCTCTCTCTCTCTCTCTCTCTCTCTCTCTCTCTCTCTCTCTCTCTCTCTCTCTCGTGAACATTCCGAGAATTACTCAAGAGCGTGACAGACAGACAGACAGACAGACAGACAGAGACAAACATGGTGATGATAGTGATGAGAATAATGATAATAAGAGCATTGATTTTGATCATGATAATGATAATGATAACAA